ATTTTTTTTTCTGATGGGATTTTAATTTTTCTAGAATTCATGTTAAATACATGAGTTATTACTATCACTTAGCAAAGTAGTATCTTATAGACTTTCACATAATTTCTTTTGTATACCACAGCACCTGTAATAGATGATTCATCGTACTCTAAATGTGATGTTGCGAAATCTGTGCAACCAGAGCCATTTTTCCATAAAGTCATTCAATCTGAAGACTTGAAAATTCTCTCTCAAGTTCAGTTAATTCAGTGTCCACCAGAAGAATCCTTTCCACTTCGATCACGCTCTGATTCACCACCAAAAAATAAAAACAAGAGTTCTTTGTTGATTGGACTTTCAACTGGTCTTTTTGATGCAAACAACCCAAAGGCAAGTATGTTCCTCATGGAAAATACCCATTTGATAACATTTTTTATTTTTTTTCTTTGAAACACCATAACATGATAGTTTAATTCCTTAAAAATGTAAGCACATACAAACACACATACATCAAAATAAACAAAAATACAAAAACTCCTTCCTCATCTTCTCTGAGCTATTGAAGAGAAATTGTTGTTGAGAGAACTACTAAGGGGAAATGGTTTCATTGGCTCCATTTTTAGATTTTTTTATCAGCTCTGCTGCTACTTTCCAGAAAGATCTTTGTGTGTTTCTCTCACCCCTTACCACTACCGTACCCAACTGCTACTTTTAACATGAGTTTGAGCTTAAGCAGTAATATATTTTAAATGGGCAGAAGTGTCACATTGCCTATGTGTATATAAAAAGAGATTAATAGATGTTTATTGTGAATCGAGTGAAGGTTTACAGAGCAGATCATCACTTTCACATTTAACAAATCGCACATTTTGTTTCATCTCAGTAATTGCACTCTTCTCTTTGTAATGGCAGTTATCCCATTTCCTCCCTGTGATTTTTATTTCCCTGCCACCCTCCTTTCCAACCCCTGTGAACCTTGTCCTCAAGTAAATGCTACCCTTTTGATCTTGAATGGTTGACTCTTCCATGGTGAGCATACCTCACTAGTGTTGTTTGTCCCGTTGGTTAAAAATTGAGCCATGAGCGTAAGTTTCATTCTAGACCCAAAGGGTGAACAAGGGCCATAGCCTCTGGTTCCTCCAGTTTCTTCTTACCAGTATACCCAATTGTTTGTTTTTTTACAGTTTTGGATTTTGTTTTCCATTGTCTCTCACTCTGTCGAGGACCTTCTAACGTAATCCCTTTCAGAGTAGTTAGTAGTAGTAATCGGACACCATCTAATTCTGGTCTCAGAGTCATGTCACTTGCTATTTTGAAAAATATGTATTTTACCAATATGTACATTTAGAAATATATGTACATACTGGTTTTTTCTTACTATAAAATTAGAATTGTTCTCTATTGAAAAATTTAAGATACACATAAAAAATAAATCGTATTTTTTTTTATGTTGTTGTTAATAGCAACTAGTAAGTTTGAACCACTGACCTTGCAGTCGCGTGCTTATCCTAGAACACCACACCAGGACTACAATGCCACAGCAGATAAATAGCTTTTTACCTAACTGGTATTATTATGTAAACTCTGTATGCAACTGATTTTTTATTTAATATGTATTATAGTATTATGGAGTCCTGGTGTGGTGCTGTGGGTTAATGCACTGGACTGCAAAGTTGGTTTGCACTGCAGAGTCTGTGTTTCAAGTTCACCAGCTGCTCCTGGAAAACCCTATACAGGGTCACTGTGGATCGGACCTGACTCGACGGCACTTAACAACAATAACATTGTACTGTAGAAATCCTGGTGTGGCACAATGGGTTAATGCGTTAGACTGCAAAATCTTTTGAACCACAGGTCTGCAATTCCACTTCTTGGAAACCCTATACAGGGTTGCTGTGGCCAGAACTCACTCAAAACCAATTAACAACAACAATAATATTATTACAACCATTTTTTCATATTGTTTAGTATTCTCTCTCATGACTTTTAATGACCATATATTTCACTGTACTACTGGGCTGTTAGGTTGGTATGAACCGCAAGGCCAGTGGCTCGTTGGAAACCTTATACAGGATCACTATGAGTCGGAACCAATTTGACAGCACTTAACAAAAACAACTATATCATAACTTTTTTAGCAAATCTTTTTCTATTGTTGGGACTTTAGGTTACAATTTTTATTATTGAAAACAATTTTCCATATCTTTATCTTTATGCATCCACCATTACCCTACTCCTCACTTACTATCTCGTTACCCAAATTGTTAAAGCCTGTTCTTACAGCTTTAACAATGTTTTTAAATGAGCTGAGACATTGAACTCAGGGTTCCTGCTTAGCGGACCTGGTCCAGCTTTCTATTCCTACTACCATCATCTCATCATTAATATCTGTTCATGTATATTTCTCTCTGTGTAAATCTTTTTAAAACATGCAGTTCTTTATGGTTCTTTATGGTGTAGCTTACTTCCTCAAGGGTCATATTTTGTACCTGACATTTCAGAATTTACTCATTATATGTGAGGGAGGGAAGGAAGGAAGGGGGGAAACAGGGAGAAAAGAAAGGAAGAAAATGACTATTGATTTAACTAAGCCTTGGAAACCCTGTACAGGGTCACTAAGAGTTGGAACCTACTCCATGGCACATAACAACAACAACAACCTGTCTCTATAGGTGGCCAACTACTTCCATTTACAGGTAGATTACATAGTAATTTCTAGGCAAAACTAGAACTTTTCATGACAGCATTTTTGTTCATTCCAGCATTGATCAATTTGTGCTGATCAGTTTGTTTTATAATGATCCATTTGGTTTGAACCATAGAGCAGTAATTCTAGAACTTTAATGTATCATATGAAATGTTTATATAAAATGCATATTCCTGCAACCCACACCTATGGTTTCTGCCTTCTGTTTTAATATATTGTATCAGGATTCAGGAATATGCCTTTTTTTTTTTTTTTTAACTTTTTATTGTGAATTGAGTGAATATTTACAGACAAGAATATCAGCAGATGAAACAAAGTGTATGATTTATTGAATTCTTTTTTTTTTAATGGTGACAACAAATAATATAGTTAAAAAATCATTTACCATAACATTCTTCATGTTCTTGATTCAGTGACATTAGGTATGTTTTCATATTCCTCATCACTGTCATCATCTATTTCCTACTTTTCCCATCACCTTTAACAGAAACTCAATTATCTCCTGGGCAGTGAGTTCCCCTTTTATCCTCTCTTCTTTCTCCTCTAATAAAGCATCGGTCTGTATACATTTACCCACCCTAGATATTTCATATTAGTGTAATTGTACAGTGTTTGTCTCTGTAACTGACTTATTTCACACAGCATAATGTTTTTAAGGTTCCTCCATGTTGTAATATGCATTTGGACTTCATTCATAACCTGTTTACTCAGTCTTAAAGAGAAAGAAACATATATTTAGACACGTACCTAAAGTGATTCTGTTACTGGTTGTTCCAAACCCCACTTGAGAAACACTACAAAACCACAGTTGACCTTCTTGGAACCTTCTTTCACATTGTTGTGAATGGGCTTCAGGCTAGCATGTACTTGTAAAGGTCAGATAAAAACTTAGTGTTTCTTTGATTTCATAAAGGAGAACTTTCTAATCCATTCTTTTCCAGTAGCAAAAATTTCAGGATTTAAACAGTTTATAAATGAAGGGAACTTAAGAAGTTTGGTAGATAATTGTCTGTTAACCCCACTTCAGATTTGGAACCATCTAAGAAGAAATCTTTCAAGAAAGTGAGGCAGCACAGGAGGCACTCACTTATC